GTTTTAGCTGCATGCCAAAAGTGGTCTCCTCCAATGTAGTTTTAATTTTTTATTTCGCAATTTTTATCTGTTTGTGCAAGACTACAGTCGTTTTTGGTGGGGTACGTGCTAGACAAAATAGTCTAACCGCTCATGGATCAGTTGTCATCTATAGCCTTACATCAGTAAAATGCATTTTCGTCCACTCAGCGAACAGCGATTGGAACAGGTCTCAAAATAGTTCTCTTGAACCAATAATCGAATAATATAAAAAGATGTTCGTTGCCTTCAAAATCTTTGGAGATTCTTGGTTCTTTCCTAAAGATGCAATGTCAGTTTTAAAGAGGCAACTGGCTTATAATAGTATTTAGATTTAGCCAGGGCTAAAAGCGAAACTGTCGATAATATTTATAGTCTGTTCAAACAAAATAAAAAATCGTGTAATGCTAAGCGGCGAAGGCAACGCCGGAGAACAGTGAAAAACAACAATAGGTCTAATTGGCAAAAAAACATTTGTACATTTTTGTGCCGTTGTTTTGCGCGACTATAACCACAGGTAACCCAGGCTCTATCATAGTACCACAGTACGGGTCCAGTAAAATTACAGTGTTTGTATGGGGTAAAAATACCATCCTAAAATTTCTGGGAAATACTAAATAAAGATCAATGAAACTTACTCTGCAGTTAATTGTTGTTGTCCTTACGCGAAGTTGTTGGAAGGATAAACAGCTATAAACTAATGGGTTTTTGAATGAAAATATTTCAGAAATAATTTCTCTGCCTATTCTTTTGTGTTTTCTCAATCATAACATGGCAAAATAAGATCATGAGGCTACAGAATCCAATGCAAGTTGCATTTATTATGATCGATGCTTTTAATATTGCACACGGGATTCCGAGAAAATGAATGTCAAATTTCACAAGAATTGTCAAAACACAGGTAAAATTCAGAAAATTTCACGTGTAAGATGTAATTTTCGTGAAATTTGACATTTATATTCTCGGACTCCTATGAGAAATTTTCTTTGGTGTTATTACAGATGACTAATTACATCTTTAGCCCTTGAAAATTGTAAAAAAAAAGAATGCAATATTCTTTGAATTATTCTGGTGTAGAGTTTATGTCCAATGAAAATTAAAATTACTCAATTTCCTGGTGGGTTCCGTCTTAATGGTTTTCTAGATTCGTAATAAAAAATAAATAAATAAATAAATAAGTTCATAGCTAATAATATTTGCACCTCAGTTTTTTAATGAAAATCTCGAAAAGTCGCGCGGTTGTTAATTTGAAAGCGTCAGGTTGAGAGGCTCCGTTGTATTTGAATTTGGAGCATGCTCGATATGAATTGTTGAGGATGTTAACAAAGGTTCCTTCGATCCTCTTCCCGACGTATCTAGGAAGATCGAAGCATTAAGGAGACTCTGTTCGCAGGGTATCTATCTGTGGGAGGCAAGAGATGACACATGAAACTCTTGAAGAAGCAAAAAATGTCCATTAATACGGACACAAGTTAGTGTACCATCTACACCTAACTGACAAAAATACTTCAAGTGCGCTGACGTAAGACTTATCCTATGTTCGCTTTATCCTTATTCGCCATTTTCACATCATAATACATCCTGTTTGCCCCCCGGGCACTAAATTTTGCATAATTGTCTTCAATTTCTCCCGGGACGCTGAAATATCCAGTAGAAATAAATAAAAAGGTTACGCAAAACTTTGCTTTGTGGGGGATTGGGGGTTGGGCAAACAAGGTGTATTAAATTATGGGAGAAAAATAAGGAACAGCCGAGTATGTTATAGCATCATTTTTTAACATGGATTACCTGTTCTGCCCAGGCGGTGTGCGTCACGACATCTGTAAACCTGAAGAAGGCTGGTATGGCCAGCCGAAATATTGTTATAAAAAACAATACACGTTGTTTTAAATCAGCTTTGCTGTAGTCTTCGGACTTCTCGTTCTTGTTCCTCAAAGGTTCATGGCTAAAACTGTTTATGTGCCTCATTTCAATCGTGACCGCGCGGTCGAGTTCGCATCTGGTGACAGAGATGAATCAAACCCCGGAATCAAAACACTGTTTCCTTTTCTGAAAATGGCCACGAGAAGAATTTGAATTCACTTTCAACTTAGATTTTCTCATGTCCGAGCGCTGCCACTAGCTTTGTCTCGCATTCTCTTTTCAATTGCAATCCACTTTAACTCCAACTTAGATTCTGTAGTGCATTCTCTTATTTTTTTACAATGTATTCAATTTTTAATCTGGATCGTGTTTTAGTTTGATTCGCATTTGTATTTGATTTTCAGTTTTACTGCATTTTAACTCACCTTCTCTTATCATGATTTGTTCGGTTTTAATTGACTTTAATGTAAAGTTAGATTCTTGCATTCTCTTTTAAAATACACTTAATTCTAATCTCATGTAATTTGAATCAAGCTTTCTGTTTTACATTACAGTCAAACCGGGTCAAGCGTTCCCGTCGCTAACAAACTAATGAATTCATTCTCGGAAAAATGATTTCGTTTGTTGATTCAATAATCCATTCATAAAATGAACAATCCAATATTCATATTTAGCCTCGATTCCACAATCGAATGTTGATTCGATTACTGTTTTTTGAAAAACTACACTTTCCACAAGTTGACCTCAGAATTTTGTTTTTTCCTCTTTTTTTTCTGAGAGTCGAGCGCTGGCGAGTTCTGAAGTTCAAACCCAAACAAACTGTTACAGTTTGCTGCCAGTAATCAGCGCCAGTAATCAGTGCAACAGACCTAGGCCTGACCTCTTAGAAAACAGAACGCTCAAACTAAGGTCAGTGTATGTGCGGTGATTGGTGGATATCGATCCTCGGCCTTTGTCAGTTTCTCATAGTTTCTTTGCGTTTGCGGTCTGTCTATTCTAGCTGTTATGTTGATTAAAGACAATGAAAAACGCAGTCGTAAACGGCAGGAAAAAGGAAGCAAATACGATTGAACACAACAGACAAGAATAAAGAGCAGGTAGATTTTGTTCATAAACCAAATCAACATTTGATTATTGAATCGAGGTCCAATTTGACTGTTGGATTATTCATTTCATGAATGGATTATTGAATCAACAAACGAAATCATTTTCCCATTAATGAATTCATTAGTTTGTTAGCGACGGGAACGCTTGACCTGGTTTGACTGTAAATTGCGTTGATATTTGATTTTCATTAGATGTACATTATTTTTTGCATTTTTGTTCGCCTAAAAAGGAATTAATGCCCTAAAAACTGAGTGGCAGTCCTCGGCCACCATACACCGCCTTTGTTCAGCCGGTCAGTACGACGTTTTCAGCTTTGTTAATCTTTCAGTAGAAAAAGTTGCCAAAGAACTTTCCGCCCCCTGAGGGCGACGGCACAAAATTTATTTAATATTTAAAAAGCCTTTGTCTAACTGTATTTATTTTCGCTGGTGTATGCAACAGAATACAATCGCATCTTGATGTTCAAGGAACCAGTAGACGGGAAAATACTTCCGGGTCATGTGATAAAAACTGAGAAAGTAGCCAATGAAGGAAGTTGCCGTGTGAAATGTTTCATAGAACCAAACTGCGTGTCCATCAATGTGGGTCCTGACGAGCACGGAGGACGCAAGTGTGAGTTGAAAAACACTACGGATGAAAGTTCGTCGCAATCTGGTTTGGAAGAAAAGGAAGGGCATATTCACTATGCAGTTGAGGTACCAGAAGCTTTTTTTTTCAAGAAATTTGTTTATTAACATCAAGGGGTAAAGAATTTTCCTTACTGAAAGACGATGATTGTTTATGCTCCTTTTAATTTGGAAGAATGAAAATGGCAGGGTTTACTATTTTTGCATTATTTATTGTTACTCAAGAGGAAATCCAATTTCTAGAGAGTTGTTGTTATTTAGTTGACGGGAATTCATTTTAAAGAGATGAAAGCTAGCTGTTGCAAACAGGCAAACAGAAGTTGGTTTAATCTCAATACAACAATACCTAAAGAAACAACCTTCATAAAACATGGTGGAAGATTTGAATGTCTGCTCAGTACATGTATTTTTAAGGAATCGTTTTAACAAAATGCAGGAAAGAGCACCCCTTACATGCTGTGCGCGTGCGTGTCCTTTAAATTTCTCTAGTTCGCTCTAACAAAACCGACACCCGTTACGCAGGTTAGTGCTAAAGGTGACTAGTTCAGGTCTTGGTTTATAAGGGTTTGTGGTGCATAGCAAGATAACGCCTTAAGGTCTTTACACACGAGGGGTTTTGCTCCCGGAGCATGCTCCAGGGGCACGCTTCAGGAGCAAAGCTCCACCGTGTGTACCAACGATTTCATGGGTATACTTCATCCTCGGGAGCAGAATTTCCACCCCGCAAAATGCTCCACGATATTTAACCGGTTAAATATTTGGGAGCAAGCTCCCGGAGCAAATTGAGCGAACTTGAAAACGCTCCCTCGTGTGTACTGACACATACAAAATGAGCCTGGAGCATGCTCCGGGAGCAAAACCGCTCGTGTGTATCGGCCTTAAATCTCGTATATAGAATCAAATTATACTCTCCAACAGAATTTCTGCCACAGTAATCCTTGCCCAGGAGAAAACTTCCTGTGTCAGGTAGGCTTCACGGATAAGGGCTACCGATGTGTTTGCCGTGATGGTTTTGGAGGAGAAGATTGCACGGGTATGACTTCTTTCATTAACTTTCCCGTTTTTACTATTGTTCTTATATTTTCTTTCTCGTCCTCTTTACCCCCGGCCTCGATTATCGCTGTTGTTGTTGTTGTTATTGTTGTATGTAAGTGTCGCAGGTGCTACACAATCGACATCCCGCAGGAACGTTTTTGCTTAATCGATCCTAATTATACTGTTTTTAGCTTTCATTGAAAGCATAATGCCGGCATAATGGGCATTCAACATGATGAGAATAATAAAAAAATGATGATGATGATGATGACGTTGATGATGATGATGATAAAATTTCCAATCTGTCTTATAGACTACTTGAATCACTGTTCGGGAAGTCCATGTGCCAATGGAGGCTCGTGCAGCAATCTTGCTGACGGCTACAAGTGCAACTGTATTAAAGGACGATTTACCGGCAAACTTTGTGAACAAGGCAAGACTACAACCTACTTAGTTTAGCAATAAAGTTAACTCTCTCCAAGACGGACGCCTTTGGGACCTGCCCCATGTCTCCATATGGAGAGATGTCCGTGTTATAGAGACTTAACCTGTAAAAAGGACCAAAGAAGGGGAGGGACCACCTCTAGGTGTCCGTTTTAGCGAAGTGTACGTCTTGATAGAGCGTATTCACATGACGTCACGGCGGCCATATTGGTGTACCAAAACGATGAAACAGCGGCCATGTTGGTGTGCCTTCACAACCCTGTGGGAATTGAACTCTTTTGTTATGTAAAAACTTTCTTTTGTTCGTACAAATTAGCATAGATGCTTGCCATGTGAGTAAATACGCGCTATAGAGGTGACCGTTGGCGTAAAGAGAGGTTGACTGTATATACCGCTAACGACTTCTGGTTGTTTTTGTTTCATTGTTGTTGTTGTTGTTGTTGTTGTTTATGACGGGGCTCAAATCTCCTTTTAATTCATAACAGGCAGTTTGAGCCCTTAAATGCGTAAAGGAAAGATTTAACGACAGTTTAAAAATTTCAGAATTTACAAGGACCTGTATCGAAAACCACTCAAGCGTGAAAGGGTGGCAAGGGTAGTTTGTCTCATACAAATCCTTGCGATATACAGTTTAAAATTTACAGGTTTCCTAATTTTAATATGCTCTTTCAGCTCGTGCTAACAAAATTTTTCAAAGACGAACTTTTTTCAAAGTTAACAACATTAATAGATGCAAGTCAGATTGATGTGTTCGACCTGTTGATTAAGGTCAGGCTTTTCCAAATTAATGTACATAGACTCCTGACGCTCAACTTATTGTGTACATTAAGTGGGAAACGCCTGACCCCAGTCAACAGATCGAACTATTTTCGCGTTTACCGAAAGTTGTTCACGGGATCAACTAATGCAAAAGGCCTATTAGCGCACGAAAAGCAAAAACATCTTGACGTCACAACCTGTTTACATACTCTCATGCAAACACGCCTCTCGGCCAATGAGAGCGCGCGTACTATCTTAGTTATTTTATAAAATGTCGTCATGGTTATAATGTTTGTAGTCACATATTTTGCCTTTTCTCTTAGTTTGCCCAGTCCCCCTCGGTATGGAAAGTGGAGCCATTTTGGACTCCCAGATAAGTGCTTCATCAGAATGGGGCATCAATGCTGTCGCACAGCAGGCCAGGTTACACTTCGTAAAAACCGTTTATGGTGCCTGGTCAGCTAGGTCAAACGACATACACCAGTGGCTACAGGTCGATCTTTTAAATACGACTCGAGTGTCAGGAGTAGCAACTCAAGGACGGAACGGATGCTCTTGCAATCAATGGGTCACAAAGTACAAGTTGAAGTACAGTGAGGGTGGACAGGCGTTTAAGTTCTATAGGAGAAGCGGAGATAATTCAGACAAGGTAGGAAACAAATAGAACACCTTACACCAAAACCCATTTTTGCAAATAATAATAATAACAATAATAATAATAGGCCGTATTCAAATTTACCTAACGGTACCTCTTTATTTCCCTCTCCTTCCCTGTCCCTCGGAAAATTCAGGATATAAGGAAGTGTTTAGTCTAGCCGATATTCTTAAAATAGCAGTTGTAATCAGTCTGGTGGTATTTTTGCTGTTCTTGCTATGTTCTAAGGCAGTAGTTCGTCTATTTCTTCCTGGCGAAACGAGTGAAATTTTCCGCCACTTTTCTTCAAAACAGCTGAGCTAAAGCATCCTCGTTCCCAGGGCTTCTCGGCTGCTGTGCCCTTGTCTGATTAGATAATCCTGAACCATTGAAGTCATAGCCTCCCACGCAGCCCGGCCACGCAGACGTTCTCAGGGGTTCGTCACGCGTTCCTGCCCCACGAACGTCTGCTGACTTGAGCGGAAAAAAGCGTAGACCAATCACAGCAGACTTCCAGATCTGGGAAGTGTACTTTGGACCTTGAGAAATTTCGCGTTTGACTTTATGACTCCAGAAAAGATCAGAAAGGTCTCATAAAAGGTGAAGACCTTACAGTTTTAGAACAAACTACTCAGTTAACTCACAAGCATTCCGTACTAGTGGCTACCCTCAGAATCTCGTTGAAAAAAAAATTCCCTCGGAGATTAAATTTGCTGAACGGAAGTCGGCTTTACTACAAAACAATAACGTGTGAAAAAAAAATCTGCCTTTCGTTCAGTCTTAAAAGGTAACCCCGCCGTTGCATCACCCAAAGATCAACTTTATGAGCAAATGACATCTAATCCAGTCTTTACAGACAGAAATATACAAAGAGCCAACGCTTATCTCCTATGTTCTCGTCAGGAGCAAAAATCTTTGGTCACGCATCACACTCTACAGAGCTCAGTTGTACGTATGTGTTTGGCTTGTCAACACTTTGACTTTAACAGCGCCGATTGGATCTCCGATAATCTGCATGTGATCTCCAGCCGATATTTGCGAACAATGGGAAAGGAATTTATCTTTCAGTTTAGCAGACGTTCGTGGGGCAGGAACGCGTGACGAACCCCTAAGAAGGTCTGCGTCGGAGGCTATAGAGTGTTTTCACTCACGTGGCCAGCATATATGCAAATTTATTGGAACAAAAAAAAGCGTTTACATAAGAAAAGAGTTCAACTCCCACAGGACTGGTTTGGGACTCCAACATGGCCGCCGTTTCATTGTTTTGGGACAACAATATGGCCGCCGTGACGTCATGTGAAAACACTCTCATTGAAGTCACTTTCTCATCGCAAACGTCTTCCAAATCTGGCCAATGCAAGCTGGTTAGCCTGGGAATTTGACCCAATCAGAAACAGAGAAATAGGACTACATTGTACTCTGCCCTAACCGTGACTTAGAGTATGAAAACAGGACGGTGCTTATTTTAGAAGAATGAACCGTCTGATTTTATCCGTCAGTATCCGTCTTTTTAGACGGACTTTGAAGACGGTTTATTCGTCGATCTGAGAAGACTGAATAATATCCAGGTTAATTTAATAAGTGTAAAACGGACGCTGTTATTATAAGAACCTTAACCGACGTTTCGGCAATGCTGCCTTCTTCAGGGTATACACGGACTAAATACCGTTAAAAAGTACGTTAAAATTATCTCAAGAACTTTTTAACGGTATTTAGTCTTGTATACCCTGAAGAAGGCAGCATTGCCGAAACGTCGGTTAAGATTCTTATAATAACAGCGTCCGTTTTACAGTTTTTAAATTAACATTTATAAGTACCACGCTGCGCAGGTTTTTCAATCTTTATGAATAATATCCATATCTAGTTTGAAAACGACGATTATGACGTTAGCCAGTGCGGATTTCCAGATTTCCAATGGCGGGGTTTTTACTGGCTTATCCAGCTAGCATAAGGACTAAATAAATTATTGGACGCAGAGAGCCGTTATTCCATAAGTCCAAGAGGAATAACAGAACAGGGAGGAAAACACCCAGTCTAGCTCTTGGGATATGTGAATTTCGCCAAAGTTATTTTTGTATATAATTACACGTTTAAAATTTAATCGGAAGTTGGTTTCCGGAGAGGTCCGCAAACTTTTATTCAGTGTTGTTAAAATAGAATTCAACAGTCGCCATTACAATAGCCTGCATTGTTTGTTATGAGGCAGTCACGCTTAGAATTGATGACGTCTTAAACAATCGATTGAAATATTCAGACGTTCCAGGAATTGGACTTTCATTTGGACACAACCCCTAAAAATAGCTTAAGTAAAATGCACACATCCCGGCCAACGCCCTAAGATTCCGTCTCTGCCATTAATCTCTCTTGATAACTCACAATAACTCCAGATATCACAAGCCGATAGTTCGTCTTGACAAGTTATTCATCTTTTCCCTATCTTTTAAGACACGCACAACCATCTAAACAAATAATTCATCTTGCGTACGTTTGTTTTTCATGCACAGATTATCCATCTCTTGCCAGTACAATTCAATTGTTTCTTGGTGTTGCAGAATTCAGGTGTTTCTTGTTGCTTTGTGATGTGGTGTGGTCATTGTTCAGCGTCTTTTCACTCTTTTGTATTACGTCATTTGGTGATTGCACCCGTCTGCAACACCAAGAAACTACCACGGTTCGTTTATCGGCTGGTATTTTGACTAATCTGAAGGAAGGACGGGTAAAAATATGGTGTTAAAATTGCCATTGAGTCTTGAAGATTTATTTTGCCAAGCAAACAAAATATTAGTCATTTCGAGCCCAGATACCAAACTACCGTATTCTGTTAAATCTCATTCAGGTTTTTACGGGAAACACCGACAGAGATACTGTTGTGAATCATCAGCTAACTCCCGTGATTAAAGCTCGTTACATTAGACTAAATCCTGTGGAATGGAACGGGCACATATCTCTGAGAATGGAACTCTACAGCTGTTAGCGTAAGTAGAGCTTAAAATCAACTTGCTGTTCACGGCTTGCATGATACTTTGTCCCATACATTTCTTTTGGTTCGCGGGGTAGGGGGGTAAAGAGGAATAATGGAGAGTAGTACAGTGGGATGTTTTGCTCCTTTTTTGCAGAGGAATCTAATTATTGCGGAGAAATTCATCGATGACGTTGTCATGTAGCCTTTTGTCTTTCTCTTATGACTAAAAAGTGGAAAATTCTTATTAAGATAGTAAGTAAAAGCACTATATATTCCGTTGTTCGAACTTGAACATCGCCGTTATCAATTATTCCATTTCCACCCCCAATTTTGGTAATGATATGGTTATTAAACTGGTCGGAAACCCGGAAGGTGGAGGGAGGAGAGGGGGGGGGGGGGAGGCGGGTACATAATCAAATTCTCTTTCGCTAGTCGCACCTAAGGCATTTGACCTTTACTGTTGTCCCTTAATATTGTTGTTGTTGTTGTTTTTTTCGGGATACCAATTACATGTTGGTCACTCTCAGGATTTGAGGCCTTTTATTTCTAGCTACTGGACAGTGCAAAATGCAGACTGCAGACCATTGTTTTCAGGATTAGAAGGCAATGGGACTATTCTTTTCTCGCCGTCATTTGCATGGTGAAAATAATGGTCTGCAGCAGTCTGTGTTCTGCATTTTGTACGGACTGTTCTAGCCACAAAAATTTCGGGATCAAATTTTGGCCCACAATGATTATCCCCTCTTCATGGTCACGGACGATGTGAAAGCATAGTCTTCTCCTGTTCCTTCCAGACAGGTATTTTATTGAATCTGCTCTCCGCTGTCAACACATGACCAATTTCAACATTGAAGAACACCTACCAACTCCGCGTTATGGCCCGTACCTTACGCATGCGCACAACCATATCACCATAGCAGTGGCAGCCCTTATTGGGGCTAATCAGCATGGCATAGCCATCGGGCATATGAACGTACAAAGCCGTGTAGGTGTTACGCGTGCATCAGGGCTAAAATGGGTATTGTCAGAAACATGCTCGGAAGAATATATGACGAAGAAAGCAGTAAAAATGAGGGACTTAACCCACGTTTCCTATTCTCTCCTTAGTTCAGGCTCTTAGTTGCAGGTTTGTTTTAATATCAGAATTCAAAGCCAGAAAATTCTGCCTGAATTAATATATTGAGAAAGAATAAGTGGGTCTTGAATACCGACAGAAACCTTTGAATTTCCTGCCACCTCGCCCAGGCCCCAGTTGTTCAAACGTTGGAAGGCAGTATCCACCGAATAAATCACTATCCAGCGGATAAGTGTTAAGCAATCTAACTGCATTATCCAGTGGATAGTGCTAACAACCTTTTGAACGACTAGGGCCTGATAAGGAAGAGTAAGTAGGCTATGAATTCCAATAGAAAAGTTTGGATTTTCTGCATTACCCATGATGCAACTAAGAACGTGAACTCGTCTACTTTTAGCCTTGAACATCAGTTATTTCCAGTTCATTAACCCGAATATGGATATGTCCCTTCCCCTCGTGATCTATATTTCAACGAGGCAGGTGACGGACGCGTTGGGTGTGTTTCCCCCACGTCACTCTAAACCTACCACGGTAAATAATAAGACAATAGTTTGTTTTCACTTTTTGTGTACATTAGCTCTTTACTTGCACTTAATTGTTGCGTCCTTGTATGTACAACACCTTAAACACAACTACAAAATGTTTAAATGTTTTTTCTAGCTTACACAATGCTGAGGTCAAAACTATTGGAGCAAGTAGTGCTTTTTTTGTGAGTTCTTCAGTTCTAATGACAAACATTTCAATCCTAAAAATCTGGGCACCAGATTAGGGTATCAGTCAAAATCTGGAAGATAATGTAATAGACAATTTTCAATACATTACAATCCAATCTAAGCTGCAAGGCTTTGAGGAGTAAAACAAAAGAAATGTACCATTTTTCCAGTATTCATCGCTGAACATGGGCAATTTAGGGGTAAAGTGAAGAGGGTTTTATTTGTTTGGTCACATTGAAGGACTAACAAGGAACAACTAATCTCCAGGCCCCGGTGGAAA